CCCTGTCCCGGCAGCCGTGCAACAGTTGGAAGGCTGCTGCCCCAGACTGGCTTTGTTTGGAGGCCTGAAAACCACGGGGTTAGAACCGACTCGGGCGGACCAGGGCTGCAGCGACCTCTTTCCCGGCGCCCCAGCCGGCGCCCCGGGCGTTTGCTCCTCTTGGAGCTCCTGGCTTGCCTTGCCCTGCCTGGGTCTCAGCGGGTGACACATCGCACCCTTGTCTGTCACTTCCCAAATCTGCAGTTCAGAAGATGGTTCTAAAGGGTGTCACCCTGGGGGGACGCCAGTCCCCGGTCTCGCTGTGGTCCCCTCTCCTCCTGGGTGCCCAGAGGGCTTTGAGTAGCTGCCTGTCCCAAGTCAGGAGCAGAAGCTCCAGTCCGCCAGAACAGAGAGGAGCTGCTGCTCTGACACATTTGCCTTTCCGAGTACTTCTGAGATCCTGTTCCTCTAGGAGACGGGCTTTGCTGTGGTGAGGATGGTGGGATGCAGCTCCCTTGGGTCCTAGCTCCCAGGACCCAGGCCCACCCTGGCCGGACCCTGTTGCTCAGCCGGGCGTGGTGGCCCAGGTGGAGAGGGTGTGGTGCGAGGCCCTGGCTCTGAGTGCCTCTAGGCCCGGAAGTTGTCTCGTGCCTTCTGCAGTCTGACTTTGGTTTCAGTCTCACTTCTTTGGCTTGGTTCTTGACCTCACCCACTCGCTCTTGGCTTCTCTAGACTGGCCGGCCCGCCACTGTGGGAAGGAATTCCTGCCTCAGCGTCTGGAGGGGAGCCTTGCTCTCTGTCTTCATCCTTCCCTTACCCCTTAAATGCCTCTGATCCAGGAGCTGCATCCTGATGCTTTGTTGTTGCTTCTTTCGAGACAGGGTCTCACTAGTACTTACTCAGTGCTCCTCCTGCCTCAGCCTCCCAAGTGCTGGGATGACAGGTGTGTGCCATCACACCCGGCTCAATCTTGACTCTTGCCAGGGCTCTTAGAGTTTCAGCCTGCCACCTGCTTGCTGCTGACAACCTGAATTGCAGGTTGTCTTGGTCTGTGTCAAGAGTGGCTGGAGGGGCGGCAGCCAGTGCAGCTGAAGCCTGGTGGCCGCTGGGTGTGGCGGGAGCTGATCCTCAGGTCCAGCAAGTGAAGACCATGTTTCTTCTCACTGCACTAGGAAAGTAAGAGGAAGGGGGAAGGGAGGCCACTGTGGTTTTTACTTTTTACTTTTTTTTTTTTTTAACTGCAAAAAGGAACTGGGAGCTCTTGCTACAGAAAGCCTGGATCTTAGCACTTCCGCATATGTGACGGGCCCTCGTGTGTCCCCTGTGCAGGACACCCCATTTTCCTGCAGTGCCCAGTTGCTGGGAGTGCAGGTCTCCCAGCACCGGCTTGGAGGAGCTGGTCCACTTCCCAGCCCAAACACGGCTGGAAACATTACGTTAATCTGCTAACGGAACCATTTCCCCTGAGGTGGACGTTAAGAGGCTTATTGACAGCTTTGGCTATGAGAGCTAATTGCAAGTTTGAGAAAGAAGATTTTATCTGAGCATTTGGGCTCCCTGTCACAGTGAAGCCTTTCGCCGCTGGGCTGGATGTTGAACTTTCTGGGTGTTCCTGTGTCCTATAGCTGGGGTGTCACCTGCCGTGGACTAAGTGTGTGCTCACATCTTCTGCCTGGCTCCTCCCAGATTTTCGAGGCTCACTGGACCTGGGAAGTCCCTGTTCCTAGCTGAGTTTGTCCAGCAGTGGACATGCCACCTCTGCCCTCCGAAGGCCAGGACCCACTCTGTCCACAGGTGGCCCTTTGGAGCTTCCTGCCCGCAGCCGTCTGGTGTGCTGTGCTCTCTGCCAAGCCCTCGATCTCTCAGTCACGCCGCTCCCTGCCAGAGGCCGCGGCTGGCAGCTGTGGCAGCGGCGAGAGACTGAACTCCCATCCCCGGCAAGCAGCTCAGGATGTGGCCCTGGAGGGGCACAGGGCTCCGAGCTGCCCTCATCCTCTGGGGGTCCCTGGGTCGAACTGCGGTCCCACCTCTGGTGGAGGGGAAGGTGAGCAAAGGCTTTGTTCTGGGCCTTTTGGCTGTCTGGGGGGCGGTCGCCCAGTTTGGGGTGTGCCCGAGTGGGGGCTGGTACTTCCACGGGCTGTGCTCAGGCCATGCTCTGACCCTTGGTGCATCCTGCCTCAGTGCCCGCCGCACATGGAGGGCAGAGGTGGTGGGGCTCCGGGTTTCTGACCCCCAGCAGCCTAGAGGTGATGGACTGTTCGGGGTCACACGCCTGGGCCTTGGCTGAGCCCTGTCCTATCTGGCTCTGGGGCCCTGACCAGACTGTGGGCCAGGAGGAAGGAGATGCATCCCCCAACACCCTCCTGCCCCCTGGGCAGACCTGCTTCCTGGTGAACGGGGATTCTGGGCGACGGAACCAGGCCTCGGACCTGCTAGGCAGACGTATCACTGAGCTACACCCCAGCTCGGGTCACTTGTTTATAACACATAGACACTGAAATGCTCGGTAACCAATGCTAGACATGGGAAAAGCATAGTAGCTAAAACTGTCAGAAGTCTCTCTCTCTCTCAAAGTCTACTCCTCTTGCTTTTTCTTTTTCTTTTTGGAAGTAGGTTCTCACTGTGTAGTTCAAACTGGTCTTGAACTCATGATGATTCTCCTGCCTCAGCCTCCTGAGTGTGCCACCACGCCCAGCCTGTTTTTACCATTTTGATACAGCTCCTTCTAGGCTTCTGTTCCTTCCATGTGACAATATTGGTATTTTTCACTTGCACACATACTTAATGTTTATGCTCTCTAGACTGATGGCTTTTCTAGATAAACATGTGTTTCTCTTAAGTACATGATGAGCTGCTGTAGCAGAAGTTGACCCAGAACACAATCTAACCCTGGATTGGTTGAACCTGTTTAAAAAAAAAATCAACTTTTACTTGTTTTTTCTTCTAAATAGCAAGTAAAAACTAAAAAAGGCACTTTTTATAGGACCCAAAACAGGACTGAAATGTTCTGTGAGACGATTTATTTTCACCAATATAATGTGAATTCTTATAGGCTGAAGGATAACATGAAAGAACTTAAAAATAGGCAAGAACTACAAATATCTGATAATCCTGAGGTTGTAACCCTTGCATAAGCTATGCTACTTTTTGTTTTCCCTAAAGAAAATTCCATATCGAAGCTCAATATGATAAAAAAGGGGGGCCAAAATAGAGGTCCCTAAGTCCTTTAGAGGAATGTTGGGGTGCGGTATCATTGAAAGCCCCTTTGCGTGAGAACCGCTGGCGATCAATCACGTTCCTCCTTTTTCCTGACGCATGATGCACTCAGTGTCGGTGGTGAGTAGGAGGGGCGGGTGCCAGTGTTTCTGGCTCTTACTGACCAGGGTGCTTGGGGAGCACGCCGTTAGCCGCTCCTCCGTGGACGTGAGCAGGGGCTCTGCTTGGGGCGGGGCACCTCATCGCCCCTTGAGCTGGTCTCGCTGCTCCTGGCCTGTGTGGCGGGGCCGGATGCCGGCAGCTGGCTTGAGGCCAGGCATGGCCAGGGATTTCTTGATCGGCTGCGCGGTGGCCCAGACGAGGAGCATCCGGGGCCGTTTCCCTGAGGTTATCTTCGAGTCTCCAGGAGCCTGGAAGGGGGACATGGATGGAGCTCACCGCAGGTCCTTGGACGGTCTCCCCAGCCTGTGAGTGGTGAGTGGGTTGCTGGTGTGGCCCTGTCTGCCCATGGAGTGGTGGTCAGCTGGCCACCTCAGCCTTCCTGGGTGCTGCCCATAGGGGCAGTGGGCCTGGATGCCTTCTCTGGTGTGGTCTGGAACCCGCACCTGACAGAGGGAAGGGCCATCCTTTGTGTCACCCCTGAGCACTTCCGGTAGGCATGGCTCAGTTTTTGGAGGAACGTGTTTGCTGTCTTTTTGTTGTTTTGAGACAGTCTCGCAATGTAACCTAGGCTGGTCTCGAGCTCACAGGGATCCTCCTGCTTCAGCTTCCCAAGGGCTGGGATGACAGCCCCACACCACCATGCCCCACCTGCTTGTTCGGTATATGACACAAGCAAGGTGGAGAGAGAAGTTGGGAGAAAACAGAAAGCCAGGCAGACAGCATGGGCCACTGGTGTGAACCAACCCTCTACCAGTTGCTGAGAAAGACCCTGGAGTGGCCAGTGCCTGTCCCAGGATGTGAGCAAGGCGGCTTGTTGAGTTTAACCTTAGGGAAGAAAATACTAGAATTCACATTTCTTTTAAAAATTCATTCCTTTACATCAGATGTGGTGGCACATGCCTGCAATCTCAGCACACAGGAGGCCGAGGCAGGAGGATCACCACAAGTTCAAGGCCAGCCTGGGCCTGTCTCAAAAAACCAATTATTTTCTTAGGTGTTTACATTTTCTTTGTTTCTAACACATGAGATAGAATAGTGCTGCCGCCTCCTTTGGGCTTCTACTGTCCCTTCTGGCAGCCGCCCAGCCACTCCTGGGACTCTGCAGTGGCCTCCACCCATCAGACCGGGCTGGGGCCTGCTCTTGACAGAGCCACCAGGGTGAGAGCTCAGGGTCCTCCGTCCCCCTGGCCTCACCACCTGCTCTGCTTGCTGTCCTGGGATCTGGCTACAGCAGCTGGGCCGGGCACCCCAAACCCTTGTACCTCCTCTCCCATCCCTTCTAGAGGGTCCCCTTCTGACTGCCCATCCGCAAGGACCACCCCGCATTCCTGCCTGCTTGTTCTACTTTTTCCTCCATACAACACACCCCTCCTATTCCCCTGCCCTTGAAACCAAAAACTTACACAGGAGAGAGAGGCAGGTGACAGGTAAAGGTAGGTGCGTGCGTGCATGTGTGTGTGCGTGTGTGCATGCACGTGTGTGTGTGTGTGTGTGTGTGTGACCCTGGTTCATTCACTGCTGTATGTTCTGCACGAAGAATAGTGCAAGGCACACAGTAAATGCTCAGTCAACCCCAGAAGGTGAATGGAGCCAATACCCACACCTGTGCATTTGTGCACAGTCGCAGATGATGCTCACGACCCATGCGGTGAGGAAGACTTCTCTAGACACCGTTTCTTTCTGTACATGGGATGTGGATTTCTACCCAAACAAAATGAAGAGAAAGCGTTCTCCCTACTGAAAGGCAACAGCTCACACGGTGTCTTTTCTCCAGCGCATTTCCCCTTGGCGGGCTGCTGTCCCAGGGCTGGGTGAGATCAGCGGTGCCTTTGGTGCCGAGTGAATTCTGTTTCTTCTCACTGCAACACTGGGGACAGGGCGCCAGCCCTGGGTGTCCCCCGCATGCTGCAGAAAGGGTCACATTCGGGGTGTGGCGGCCTCCGGGGCCTCTGAGCGAGTGAGGATGGCTTCCGACGTCCGCCCTCAGAGCAGGGGCCCCACCAGGCTCCTCTTGCCACACACACGGGCTTGGGCAGGTGCAGGGCCTGCTGGGGACCAGGCAGCACTGGCCACAGGGAGAGACACGCACCGTGGAAGTGACCTGGCCCCGTCCTGGCCACATCCCGTGACAGCAGCGGTCGATTCCTCGTAGGGAAGAGGAAAGTGAGGATGGGAGGGGAGTAATTCAGGTCCTACAACTCCAGGGTCGCCCTGGGCGGCCTGACGCCGAGGTACCCGCCTCGTGCCCTGCACGGCACAGGGACCTTTCCCAGGGCCCTCACACCAAGGAGACCTGTGTGTGGCAAGTGCTCATGGACATGCAGCTGGCCCAGGCAGCGCAGGCTGAGGGGCTGGGAGGGTGCGGGCCGGAGCCGGCCAGGCCTTTAGGGGAGGGGATTCGTGGGTAGTAGACAGGCTAGGAGGGGCTGGGTACCAGGGGCCGGGGGCCTGGGTCAGCAGGAAGAAGAGCGGAGGGAGTGGCCACCACCTGACCTGGACAGTGGCGGTGTCACCCACTTCTAGGAGGTCCCGTGAGTGCGAAAAGACCTCGGGCTGCGAGTTGGGGCCTGCGCCCCACGCGCTGTCCCACACATTGACCCGTCCTCTACAAAGCCTGAAGTGTGCGCGAGGCCAGGCTGTCCTGCTCCTCCTGCCTCTGTGCTGCTGGACACACTGTCAAGTGGGCTACATAGTGCGACGGTCTTCTGTGGGTAACCTGCGTCTGGGCGCAGCAAGAACCTCACTGCCGAGGCCCAATGGTGGCAGAGGCCACTGACGGGGCAGAGGAGCAGGGAGAGGCCCGCCTCCAATCCCACAACTGAAAAATCATTCATTTCATTTTGTGGAGCTGGGGATTGAGCCCAGGGCCCCCCACGTGCCAGCAGGTATTCTACTGTTGAGCTCCGTACAGCTCCAGCCCAGCCTTATATTTTTATTTTAAATAAAACATTACTTTACAATATCCACATCATGGGCAACCTGCAGAAAGCAAATGATTTCATTTCTAGAAAATTGTTTGCAAGGGGGAAAAGCAAAGCTGAAAGGAAGTATAAGTACATTGATTAAAAGGCAGTTGATATCTACCTATCAATATGTATGCACTAACTGCAGTGAGTAGCTTTAGATTCTGATTTAAACAAATTTAAAAAGCACTTGTATGAAATGATTGGGGGAATCTGAATTGAGAGTGAGATGGTAGTGTGATTCTGTTGTAAAAGTCTTATAAGAAACAGCCGGACATGTAGCTCAGTGGCACTGCGCCTGCCTTGCAAGTGCAAGGTCCTGAGTTTGATCTCCAGTACCAAAAAAAGAGAGAAAGAAACCAAGCCACAAAAACTTGGAATTTACCCCGGACACCTAGTGCTTAAACCACTGATGACTCATTCAGAATCAGTCTCCTCTCTCCTTCCCGCGTCCTCGGTGAGGCTGTTAAAATCCCCGACTGTCAGAAAGCACCGATTCTGCCACTCAGAGGCCCTACCTGCTGACCTGTTCCAGTCCCTTCCCCATTTAAGCCTGCTACTTGGACATCCACCTTGGAACCCTGCCTGGGGGCATTTAGGAATATTCGGACTTGGATTGTCTTCTCCCTCTTTCAGTGTAAGATGGGGGTTTCTCCAAATCACTTTGCAGCAGTGGCTTCTAAACCATGTTTCTATTTAAATTGCGCAGTTTTAAGAGGCAACAAGAAGTTACACAGTTGCAGTGAGGACCCCCGGCTGCCTGGCCCCTTTGGCATGGGAAGTGGGTGTGGGCTGCTGCCCAGCTCGGTTTCTGAGTGGCTCAGGCTTGCTGAAATATCTGTGTTTATTTCTGTGTGTGTAAAAAGTACCCCCAGCCTTCCTAATGGAGGCCAGATTTAGGACTTCTGTGGACCGCATGCCTAAGAAATGGCCAACTTTAAGCTGCACGGACGGTAAGAGGCGGGTCAGGAGCCGAGGATGGGGGCCTAGGGGCTTAGGGGCTCTGCACGGTGAGTGTCGAATTTAGTTCTGATGTTCTCCGTCTTAACGGCCAAGAGGAAGCAGCTTCCCCTCAGGAGTTCTGCATTTTAGTGAAGGGCCTTCTAGAAGGCTCCAGAGCCCGGGCTTTTTGTCACAGTGTGTAAGACACCATGGCCTCTCAGTGGAGCAGGTGTCAGGAGGGGTGGAGCAGAGAGGGCACAGAGTGATGTCTGGAGACCCGGGCTGTCAGCTGCTGTGTCCGGACCTCCTGTGGCCCAGCTGTCCGGGCTGCAGATGGGGCTCGCTGGATGTGGAGGCTGTGACCATCCAGTGGGCAGGGACCCGGGCAGGCTCTGGAGCGACACATTCCAGAAACCATTTCTTCACCTTCAGTCCCCTGAGAATATATAGTCATTTTTGTTTGAATTTATGATCTTTTACCTTGTCTTCTCTCCAACTTAAACAGCGTTGGTAGAAAGAATTTCTATTTCACTTTTATGTGACACCTCCGTACTTTGGTTTGAATTGTAGCATTTCAAGTCCCACAATTTTGGAAAGTGCGTCTTTCGGTTTGGTTTTTGTTTCAATGGACACAGCAGGTGTGAAGGAAGAGTCTGAGGTTTCAGTAGGGTCAGTGAGATAAATGTGGGGTAGGGGTCATTCTTAAGTTGTCAAAACTTTGAAAATTACAAGAATTCTACTAATAAAATAAATAAAAAGAGAAATCATAAGAATGCCACTTCCTCTTCACAGCAGTATAAAACCGACTTTTTTGAGGAAGTGAATAAAAACAGATAATGTGATAGGTCTTGTCATCATGAAAACAATTATCACAGCAGAACATCTGAAAAACATGAGTGAAAAATTTCAAGTCCTGAACAAGTAATGGAGTAGAAAACCATAAGCTTTCTCAAAAAATAAAGGCTACACTGTAAAGCGTCATTTTGATTAGTGGTCTTTGTGTTTCTTTTAGAATTAGACACCGCTATTTAAGGAGGATGTGAGGTAGGCATGGCTGTGTGTTCTTGAATTCTAAACATATATTTTAGTCTATGGGAACAGGGCAAAGAGAGCGTGAGGGAAAAGGGGAATAAAGAAAGGCAAATGGGAGAAAATGTATTTTGAAGAACGAGGGAGGCATGGGGTGGGAGGGGCTGGCCAGGTGTTTTCCGGGGTGCTGGGTACTGCAGCTCCCGCTGAGCTGGCCCCTGGGAAAGGGCAGCACCGCCCATGCCCAGGATGGGAGCTGAGCTGCTCCTTCCCTGCAGAAGGGACAGGGACGGCCGGGCTGCAGGGTCCCACAGTGGGAGACTGACTCTCAGATGCTGGGAGACAGGGCCAGGCTCCTGTGGCTGGGATGTGGGCTCCAGCCAAGTCCCTGGTGCACCCCACCACCCATGCCGGTGAACTCACCAAGTAAGGGTGGGTTGTACAATAGGCTACTCCACTGCTACAGTGGCCTGCTGAGGGTCATTTTTACAGCATCAGCGTCATCATCGTGGCACTGGGGGTCAAACCCATGGCCTTCTTACTCCCTGGCCCTTTTTATCTTTTACTTTGTGACAGGGTCTCACTAAGTCACTCAGTTGCTCAGGATGACCTCCTGGGGTCCCTACTGCCTCAGCCTCCCAGAGTGCTAGGATTACAAGGAGCGGGCCTCCATTTCCAACATCTTTACATCATTAAATGCTTGAAAAAGATCCAAAGGATAATATTTTGCAACATGGAAGCATTTAATAACATTCAGGTTTCAGTGGCATTGGAATGCAGCCTTCCCAATTTGTTGGGGTCGGTGTTGCTCTCAGGAGCCAGGTGTGGAGTGGGGAGGTTGAGGCCTGAGAGCCTACAGCTATGGAGCTGGACAGTTTGCTACTAGGCTTGGCAGGGGCTGGGGACCGAGGCCCGCGGGCTCAGTGCCACGGGGACTGACTCAAACCCAGATTTAATTTTGTTGAGGTGGGAATTTTTCTCTAGGAGAAGGTAGGAGCTTAGTTAGCCTCCTTGTTATGCTTAAAAAAAAATTCTCCTTAAAACAATAGTTTGCTTGTACTCAGATCTTTGTCTCCCTTGAGGATCCTCTGTAGGGAAAGGAGCCATTTGTTTCTATTTTAAACCACTGCCCTTTTGAATGGAATTTTTCAACTCCAGATGTGGCCCAGAAACAGTTAATGTGCGCCGTGGATGCCCTCGGAAGACCCAGAGAGGCAGGGTGCTCTGCTTCTTACCTATGAGAGCAAAACAGAGATCTCAGCAGTGGCTGTTTCTCGTTGTGCGCTGAAGTGCTGGTTTCAGTCAGTTGTGTTAGTGGAGACTGAATTAACGTGGAGGTGAAATGGCTTTAATTTATAGAAAGTTGCTTTAGACAAACGTTTAGGAGGTACGATGAACTATTATAAGTGGGAATTATTAAATGAAAAGTAATGCTACCTTCTGATCTAATGTTTCTCATTGTTCTAGAAGTTTCTCTCAGAAGCTAAGCCTGGCTGGTGGTTTGTGTGTGAAGTGTGAGTGTATGTGTGTGAGTGTGTGGTCTGTTTTTCACTTCAGAATAATTATGAAGAATCTGCCTTCTGGCCTTGTCCTTCTCCAGTCCTGTTTGACCTCGGAGGAGGGACAGAGGCGCTGGGTGCAGGCCAGGCGGGCAGGAAGGAGGTGACTGGCACGTCTCCTGGCCTGAATGTTGGCTTCTTCTCTGTTGATCCACGTTGATGACCTAGGCTGCTGTCTGAGGAGGTGATCCGTGAGACACCAGAGTAAGGCTCCACTTTAGAGGACACTGGCAATGACAGGGACCCAGGCCTCTTATGTTTTCTGAGCAACATCACTGACTTTGGGGAGACAGGAACTGAGCACTCCAAACCGAGGCCTTTGGCAGGCAGACTGTCAGCAGAAGCGGAGAGCTGTTTCTGCAGTTCCAAAGCGCCCACAAATGGTGTGGGTGAACCAGTGGTTCCACTGTTCCCTGATGCATCATCACGTGGGGAAGTGTCCCTCACTCCCAGGTGGGTTTGCAGGGCACAGAGGTGTGGGCCCGGTGCCCCCCCCCCCGCAAGGGGACGGGGGATAGAAGACCAG